GTCTGCCCGAGTGCTGTATTCTGTGATTCGGCGATATACAGAACGCTTGAGCTGGTCCCAAAGATGCTCAATTGGGTTGAGATCAGGCGAGTGCGGAGGCCACACCATTTGCTCAATAGCCGCACCAGCCAAGAACTCGGTGACGACTCCTGTAGGTCGGTAGCACCTTGCCTGGTGGTCTTACAGCAAATGTTACACATTTGGACACTGGCCAACAAATAGACATTGAATGTCCATTCTATTGATTCAAAAACCATTTATAGACATAGTGCTCTAGATTTTTGTTAAACTGAAATAGGTTATCATCATTTATATTTATAAACACCAGGTAGGATGGAGTGTTGCAGTGCGTCTGCAGTAAGTGGGGCCATTTAGAGAACACCAACCAATTGCACTGCAGAACAAAAATCAAACTAAAGCTTGTCCAATCAAAAGAAATATTCAGGAAGCCATTAACTGCAGTGTTTACTTTTACAAGTCTATTTTTACTGTTTGACATTCATTTATTTGTTTGACATTCATTTATTTGTTCAAATTGTTTTTGGCCTAAATGCTGATTGGCTAATGTGCCGTTTGTTGATTTTTCCAATTTTTGTTCTGTCATTGGTTAGTGTTCTCTAAGTGGTCCCACTTACTGTAGATGTACTGTAATGTATAAAATTGTTTGGGATTGACAGTACATAATTATAAGATAATTCACAACTGTATGATTTTCCTTTTTTGTCTGCACAAGCACTTGTATGTGGAAGCCAAAATATTGCACAGCTTCTCCTATAATTCTATAACCATTCACTCTCGCCCCTTGAATGCAATAGATATGATAGCCGATAAAGTTTAGCTAAGTATTTTTTTATTATATCTGGTATAAAGTGTCCCTACGTTTAATCAGTTTACGATAATTCATAAACTGTATATGTGCACGAACTCTTGCTCATAGCCATAGAATTATTAAGTGAGTTTCTATAAGCCTTTTAAAGTTTCCATTGAAAGATAGGTGGTTTGCCTCCAGTATCTTTTGGTGAAACTTCGAAAACGTCGATCACAGTACACAATAAAGATTAAGATTGATGATATAAATATTGATGACCTACAGGCACAGCGGCATGATACAAGGTCGAAAGAAGCTGGATTTAAGATGGGTTATTGTCCTAAATATTCAAGTTGCATATTTCGTCCTAAATAGTCAAGTTGCACTGCACGCACAGAGGAGCTTTGTCATTTGTGTGATGATAACAGATAGCTATACTTCGACATAATCATTCTTGATCGTTGAGTTTCAGCAATATAAATGCAGGGAATTTTACAGTCCATAACAGGTTATAAACTCTTAGTCCTGTATTTTCACAGTCAGGATAGCATTGTTTACACACAGTTGGCAATGTTTGGGAAATCAAAGGATCCTGTCATAAAATAAATATTTTGTTTTGAATACCGGACAGGATACACTTCAACTATAAACAACCATATCGTTTGTTTGGTCGATCAGTTGGTGTAGATCAAATGGTGTCATATTTAATCAAAATCCGCCATTTTCTCTGGGATGAATTGCATTATCCCAAGTCATTTTTTTTTTGAAGGACAAAGGCAGTTCTGTTCAATGCTAACTTATTGGGAAATATATATCTTTTGAAAATACCTTGTTCTGTGAAAAAGTGTCCAATCCCAAAATCTGACAGCACTAGATCACCCCGCATGTCAACATTGGGAAAAGTGCTATGAAATACGAAGGCAATTGTAATGTTTAGTTGTTGTCCTGCAAAGTCACAGTGATAAATCAAAGCTGTTTCTTTTACTAAACTCCAATTTGTTCAAACCAGGCATGGATTTTCTGGGGGGGAGGGTGTGTGTTTAGAAGCCCGTTATTATTTTTTAAATAATTTCGTGTCTCACCCAATCTGCCTATCAGTTGGATAACTGAAGGTTAAGGATATACTTCCATTTAAATTTCAATCAAAATATTGAAGAAATTTCCAGAAACATCTAATTTATACTCGATTTTATTAAGAAACTATAGTAAATTATATTGTATTTTGTTTTGACGAGTTTCTGAAATGATGTCATGCTGAAAAGGCATTCTCACCCAGAGGCGTAGCCAGGATTTTCGGTCAGAGGGGGCTGACAAAAACCCAGGTGGGGCCAAGCCACCAGTGACCCGAGACGCAAAGTTCGCGTAAGAAAAAATTTTGCGGACCACACAACTCCCCCTCCTCCCCCCCCGCGACAACTTTTTCGGTAAAAAATTTTTCTGGACAATAACATTACAATTGCTTTCATAGCACTTTTCCCGATTTCCGTATCACTTTTTCCGATGCTTCACCACGAAGATTCCGACAACATTAGAGAGCGTTTGAGCAAGAGAATAAGAACGAAGTCAGACGACGACTACGTGGACCGTGGTTGACAATTTTTGCCTGTCTTGCACATTATCTTACGCATTCTGAGTTTAGAGTCCGGCGTGAAGACAGATTAGAGATTTATTTCTAGCTGTTTATGAATGCTGACCTAAATCCTTACCCTGATCAAGACAAAACAGCGAGACATGAATCCATATCTCGTCTTCGTTCTTCTGCCTTTGTTCACAACGAAAAATTCGCAAATATTTTGGCAAAATTCGTTGTGAACTTCGTTCCAAACGAAGGCAGAAGGACAAAGACGGGATATAGTTTCATGTCTTGCTGGGTTTTTTTCTGGGTCAGGGCAAGAATTAGGTCAGTATTCATAACAGCGACACCTGGGAAGACACGTTGAGCAACCACCAGTGACGTCCAACTCAGTATGCGCAAGATAATGTGCAACGGGCAAAAATTGGCAAGTATACACCTTCGTCTTTGTACTTCATTGTCTTGCTCAAACTCTCTATTGACAATTTTCCGACAGGTCTCAATTTTCCGACGGGTCTTCCTCCCCCCCTCCCCTTCAGCCATGGCGCCACTGCCGAGCCCACATTAAAAATTCACTTGTAAAAAAAACAGATTGGTTTAAACTTCATCTAACCCTCATTTAATACATATTGAAGTAATTAGGGTTAGAAAAGGTATGTGTTTCAAGCTGTGCTGCAAATAAGCGAACAAGTGATTTTAGGTTTCACACTGATGCCCAGCAAAGCATATATTCTACAGAATTTTTGCAGTATTGACACCATGAAGCTATATAATTAAGGATTCCCTTTTTATACAATACATTTTATCAAGGGCGCCCAAAATTTTGCCAGGGGGGGCGGCCCCCCCGGCCCCAGCCCTGGCTACGCCTCTGTTCTCACCCCAGTACTTTTATGCTTACAGTAATATAAAAAATTGCCAACTTTGAGCACCAAAAAGTCCATGAATATCAAATTTACAAATTGTAAAATATATTACAACTCCTCTTAGAATATAAACCTAAATAATCAAAAACACATCAGTTCCCTGACCATCATATAGGCATTTTAAGTTTTTAATTTCCACCAAGAGCACTAAAAGGCACATCCTCACATGAGCGCAGTTCAGCAATGTTTTGCTAATTTTAGAAATGGGGGGACGGTCTTGAAAATCAAATGGGCATGGTTACTCGATTGGGCATGACCTCATGCATAGTCATAGTGAACATGTACATATGCAATAGCTTATGACTGGTAAGTACTTATCTAAGGGGATATCAATTATCAGACTCTCGTATTTTTGTGCCAGTCTGCTAGAATTTTATGCAAGTATATCAAGTTTCAGGGAGATTAACATAGTGACACAATTACATTCTGAACTATATCTACGTAGGACGCTGAGCAATTATTGCCAAAAATAACACGTATGTAGAACAAGTGATGCCAAAATTACTTGGATGGTGTCATGGTGTTCACTGAACTTCAATCATATTTAATCCCTGCCAGGGGGAACGGTGTTCGCCCACGTTTGTCTGATTGTGGTGCACAACTTTGATGGAAGAATCGGTTAGGTGCTATTTCTGATTAATCCTGTCATCATTCCCTATGCAAGGAACCCGGAGAAGACCCACAATGTTTGGTTTGGGGTTGACTCATTTCAATAATCCAAACCCAGTAATCCAAATCTGTTGTTTCGTATCAAGGAGTGTGTCGTTTGAAAATGATGCAGTTTTTAATGCAAATTGACAACCGGATGGGGAGATTTTTGGTAGATAATTAGTCAATTTAATCTTCAGCAAGTAAGGAGATGGATTTAACAAGATGAATATAATAAACAAATGATTGCAAGTGATGCAATTTTTTAGTGGCATTCGTTTTGACTGGACTGGACCTTGGAAGGTATGGTTGAACAAACCTGACATACTCAACTTACAGCAAATCATATATTAACGCAAATAGTGTGTTCGTCCAATATTAATTTTGCAGATTTTTAGAAACGATTACAAATGTACTCGTTTATTCGAAAAGGTGATTAAATGCAGCATGTTTGGCTATAGCTTTAGAACTAAATGAAAATATTCAACTACAGTGTATGTTCTGTTTTTTAAGATATATTTTCTGCAATTAGATGTGTATCGATTTTAAAATCCAAATGCTAAATAGGTTTGAATTTAGTTTTTACTGCTCTTGCCAAATTTGACCTAAATTATACCATTGGTTAATTCATTGGTAAAAAATAATTTCAGCAGTTATAAATTACCTGAAACTGCTTCTGATCTAACTAAAATGTTTTTCACAATAGACGTAACCTAGGTCTGATAGTTTGCAAAAAGTATAATTTGATTCAAGCCCTGTTTACACTGCACTCAATTTTTGGTACGGCATGGATAAAAATGGTACCTGTGCCAAAACGCAATAGGTTCGGCTTGGATAAATTTGCAAGTGTAAGCACTATACCTGTGCTACTTTTATCCAAGCCGAACCAAAATTTTTATCCGTGCTTGGACCTTCTTTGAGGTAGTACCAGAACTGCAAAACATGGTACGGTTCGGATAAGTTGTGAAGTGTAAACGCTATTCGTGAATCTATCCATGCTGTGTTTGTTATTACGAGCATGCGCTGTGAAATTTCAACGTAATTCAAGATGGCGGATAGTAGAAAGCGTGGGCGTTCTGATGATAAGGTGAAAAATAATCGAAGTCCCAAGAAATCCGCTAGGATTAGCTCTTGGAAAGATGAGGAAGTGTTGGCACTTTTATCCATAATGAAAGAGGAAACTATTTTGTATAACTTGGACAACGATAAGACACCAAAAGAGAAACGAAGTGCATATAGACATGTGGCTGCAAAGATGGAACAGAAAGGTAGTGTACTATGTACTGTTTATAACCACAGCATCCATACAGTACAGTGTATGTATATTTGGAATCTGGAGTTAATAATATGCGTTTGTTTATTATACCCCTTAATTTTAAAATTTTATTCAAGCAATATAACATTAGAACATTCAAATACACACCAATAGGGTTGCATTATTAAATATTTATATGTTGAGGATTTTGAGGGGGATCTTAAAATTTAGTGACTAAAAAAGAGGGATGCCAAGTTTATTTCTTAGGGAGTGGTCATCATTTATGCGGACGGGGGTTGGTAAATGGGGGGAAATGAAGTTATACCCTTATAAATAGGGGGTCAAAAACGTTAATGCAGAGAAAGGGGGTCAAAAAAGTGTTTGAATTTAAATACCATGTCTAGAGTTCTGATTTATATAATCACAAATAGCTACAAAGAAGACTTGAAAATGCCATTTCCAACGATCTAGAGACTCAAAATTTTCAAAATTTCCCTTTCCAATTTGGTCTATCAAAGCACAATGTAATGCTGTATATCCAAAAATCTGTTTCAGAAAATGCTCACATTTCAGTCCTAGGGGTGGAAAAATACAAAAAATTTTCTGGGGGAGAATATCCCAGAACCCCCTACTAGTACATACAACACCACACCAAACTTTTTGCCACCAACAACCATCTGTCATCTCTGATTCTCCACACTCAGTATAGTATGATCCCTTTTTGTAGATGGCCACCCCCAGACAAGTTCTTAAAAAAAAGCCCCGTGTTCAAATCATTTCATTGTATGAAGATCAGTGGTGCCTAAATTACTTTGATTTTATACTTGAGTAAAAGTAGAAGTAATTCGCATTAAAACGACTTGAGTAAATGTAAAAAGTACTGGAGAGAATACGTACTTGAGTAAAAAGTACAAAGTATTTTTCAAAAATACTTAAGTACAAGTAAAAAGTACAAGTACTGTATAGAGTATATCGAGGAATGACACTCTGGATTAGACTAATAGACCACCAACAATACGATAGTTACATACCGCAATTTTAACTTCAGGCCTCTTGGGATTTTCAATTTTTTATTAAATTTTAATTAAGCACTACTGGGGGATTATGATGGGTGTCTACGGCTACAAGGGATTTCAAAGTTGCAATTTAATACCAATGACACGCAAACATTACATACATACATTGACCTGAACACAAACCTAGTTTCCTTTTTAAAACTTAAAACTTCGTTGAAATTTAACGTAACCGCACATTGGGCTATTCCAATTTCTATCCGCACCCTCCGGTGAGAAACATATTTAGATATTTTACATGATTATTTGTATAGAAATGTATTTGTCAACTGCACTACACTACATCCGATGAATTCCCGGGTGGCAATTTCAAGTTTTTAGAACCCTACCATTACCAAACAGACAAAGGCATAAAACAGCTTACCTGTACATGTTTTCTTAGGTTTGAAGGCGACGAAATGAACGCAGATATCTCTCTAACAAGTGGCGAGCAAAGGCAACATATGAATTTGATGCTCTTGTTCTCTCTTCCCACTCTTCCATTGTAGCGAAACATTGACTTCAAAAATGGCCAAGGATGTTCCTCCTCTTCTCCTTTTTTACCGATAGTATTAACACCTTCTAGTCCTTGTCCTTCGTTCAAGACTTCGTCTGCAATATGCAAATCACTGTCGGCCATGGCTGCCCAAGCAATTCGGGTAGAGTTCAATGATTGGGCCAGTGAATTCGGCGCAATAATTTGGCGCGAAACGCGTGTATTGTCGCATGTGTTCAGCGGAATATATTAATTGTCTGTACTTCGTGTAAATAACTATAAATTTGATTGCGATTGGAGTCGAGTTTAAAAATCGAAATTCATTTTAGAAATCACCGAATCAGGTAAAAGATAGAACTAAAATTTGATAATACCATAAAAGTAACGGAATACTTCACCGCAAAATAAAAATAACGAAGTAAAACGTTACTTTTTAAATTTACTTCGTTCCAAGTAGAAGTACTCTGTCAAAAATTTACTTCGTTACTTGCTCACTTCTCAAAATTAGTACTCAAGTAAAGTAACGAAGTACATTTACTTCGTTACTTGTCACCACTGATGAAGATGGGCCATGGGTTAGGGTTATGGTAGTACAAATGTTGCATTGCAGAGTAGTAACACATAATATATACTTTTTAATCATATATGGTTGAATCATATTCACCAGGGTAAAATTAACATCATGAGCTAGATTAAGCAGATTGTCCTAATATCTAACTTTACCTGCAACACACACCTGTTTCATTGCTGTTAATTTTTCAATCCACACTGGGGGGGGGGGGCAGAAAAGTTTCTAATTTTGTGAGGGGGAGGCACAAAAAGTTTGCTTTCAGTCTGAAGGCGGGTCAAAAAAGTTTTCAATCCTTATTTTCCCCATTTACCAACTCCCCCTCCCCATAAATAATGAGCACTCCCTTAATATGAAGGGGGGTTGCTAAATTTTGACTTTAAAATGAATTCTGAACAAAAAAGTTTATAATAATATGCAATTTAGTTAGTGGAAGCCAGTAAGTGCTTTGTTTATCCTTTCTCTGAAACAAGACCACTTATTAGAAATCTGCTAGATTTTATTTAAACATATATTACTAAAGTTTGCCAAGAGCACTAGGCTCATCTAGGGGCTTATGTTACATTTACTATTACATTAGACTGGACAGACATATAGTTACATTTACATTATTTTTACAAAGTTCAAGACAGATATATAGAAACACACATAATAAATTAAACAGCAAAAGATGATAGCTTTGACGAAATTTCTTTAATTTCGTCAAAGCTATCATCTGCTAGATTTGAAATGTCCAACAAAATCACCCTTAGTCCTCCAATTTAAAGTGATCAGGGAATTTTGACAACATTATTTCGACTAGAGCTCTGCCATATACATTAGTGTCACAGTCTTGAGAATTCCGATAATCAATTGGACCACAGGAGTTATTGTATAGGCTAAAATCGTCAACAGAATTGTTTAAAATTCCTGTTCTTGCATTAAATTCTCCACATAAAATTATCTCACCTAGATTGGCAAATTTATTTATGTCATTTTGAAGAGTTTCAAAGTGATTTATGTTTCATCTATGTTCCCTAGGAGAATTTTGTGGAGGAATATAAACTGAAGAAATGAAAATACCCTGGTGCTAAGTTAAAGAAGTCCTTATCTAGTTTCCACCAAACAAGTTCTTTACAGTTAGGGAGCGGTCATAAAGTAAGTGCTACCCTGGGGTGGAGGATTTTTTAATTTTGTGAACAAAATTTCATACCCCCCCCCAAAAAAAAATTGTCTGATAATATTTGGTACCCCATTGAGATAATGGTCTCAATGTTTCATATCCATCATAAAAAAGGTTAAACAAAATACAGTGTGTCTATTAAACATGCTGGTACATGCGCAGATATTGTGCGCATGCATTGAGGTATACTTTATAATATTAACTGCTAATTGTATTACACAAAATACCGTTTTGCAATACTAAAACAGCGCAGAAAAATAAATTTTAATTTTAGTATGCATATTTATAAATACCGGCTAGTTATTCTTTATTCCTATTATCACATCCATCCTGCACATACTCCAATAACTGAACACCATTATTCATTAATTGAACATCAAATCTGAAGAAGAGGAAAACCCATGTTTATAAATCACAAAAACCCAAGAAAATTTTGTATTTTCGGATTGTTTTAATGCACAATCTACAAATTTAATTAAAGTGCACATTTATACAATTCTACTTACAAAATCTCTCACTCTCCAGTTTGTTGCAATTCGTCCACTCCTTGTTGTTGTTGTAAACATTGATTCAACATCAGGTTCACTGTTGATGCTGTCGTAATCGGATTCACTGGTTGAGGTATCTGCATCAGAATTTGGCGCAAGTGTGTCAGCAATGACAATGTCCTTGTCAGTGTCACTGGATTCCATTGTGGAATCATCTGACTCTGAATCTTCTTCAAGTGATGCTGAAGCTGCATTGGGATCGTTGAGTAACACTGAAGCAATATGAGTGGTGATGAAATCGATTTTCTCTTTTTTCTTCAGCTTAACTCATTCTCATCCGGTCGAAAAGTAGCAATTTCGAGTGGTGTTGTTTCAAACGCTTATATCTCTCAAATTATACATTGCACGGAAACAGAAATTGCATCGTTCGAAAGAGGAGGACTTCTGCTTTCCAACGATACCAGTTTCAATTCCATCCGGAGCTTGGTTAACGATTTACTCGCATAAATTTGCATAAATTATGATATAAAAAAATGTTGCAATTATGCATAAATGTATTTAGCGGTTCAAATTTCAAATATGTCAAAAAATTTTATGACTATGACTGAAAGACACGGTTATGATCTACAAGTACCCGAAGTTTCATGCATGTAGCATAAATAGAAATATTTTTATTGAATTTTTATATAAACTAGGTAGTGTAGTAAAATTTACATTTTGTGCTCACATGAAACAAATACCTTTATCAAAGGTCCTTTTTTATTGCTGCAACATGTTATCAATACAAATTTCCAATATTTCTTACTCTCCAAAGATAGTATGGCACCAAAATAAGTCTATGATACCCACAAAAGAACACTCAAAACATGATTAGCAAAATGTCTTTATTTCTACGATTACTACATACATTCTTAGATAATCATTACACCATTGACTTTAGTTATTAGTGGCATAACCAGCCTCAAAATTTGGTCATGCTATTCAAATTTGAAATAATCACTACTCATTTGTTTAGAAATTGATTGTTTTCACAATCTAGAACATGAAAATATTTGCAAATAGCATGACCAAGTGTTGTTGGGCTGGCATCATATCATAATTAGTAGTTATAAAAAAGTAATGTTTTCCAAGGCAGTAATGTTTGCTAAAGCAGTAATGTTTGCCAAAGCACATAATTGGATTATGTGGTGAAAATATTTCCTTTATATTGTACTACAAAAGACCTAAGACTGTAACCAAACTGATATCAGATCACCACGTCATACCCAAATCTGTTGCGATGAATATCTGGACTTCTTCCTGTATAAATTTCAAAGTCGCAATATAAGCATTAGGATTATCTGCAGCAACCCACAGATTTATTCCCCACATAGTAGGTCATCTAGCTTTCATGAACTGCCTAACCCCCAACCTATTTCTTGATTTGACAGTGTGTTTGTCTGCAACAACAATATTCAGTGACGGCTGGTACAGTTGTTGATGCAGTTTATTGCTGTAGTCTTTAGTACAGGATCTACCATATTCACAAACGCCATAAGCGCTTTGTACCTAACCCGAGAAATTATGTCTATTGCCCACAGACCATGATATAAGGTTTTTACACTCCAATAATTTTCAATCTCACTGTCGACCTTTAGCAAACCTGCATATTATACTAAAAGGCAATCAACCTCTCAAGGTTGGTGGACTGCAAGACCCTTTTTTATTAGTATGTGGGGATAACTTTTGAGTTATTTGTATGTGGGCATATGTATTGGTATGGCCAGGAAACTATAACTCCTGAAGCATTCCCTTGGTAAAAAAGAGTCGAATGAACTCAAGCTCACAGTTCATTGAGCCGAATGAACTCAAGCTCACAGTTGATCGAAATGGATCCCGGACATGTCAGTGAGGAGCAAAATCTGGGAGAACATTCCTGGCATCAGGATCATCATATCCGTCATGTACTATGGGGCCTATAGTGGGGATGCTAGACAGGGAGCTTTCGAAACCTTAGGTCCTAATGGCTGGGCTTCCCTCTACCTCTACTCATCCCCCTACCTTCCCTCTGGGTTGGTGAGTGGGGTTCTGATGACTCATCAGAACTCTACTTCCCTGAGGCTATGAAACAGGAACAGCAGATAGGAACAGGATCAATATATTCATCACTGCGAATAAAAACTTTTATAGATATGGTGCCACTTAAAATTATAATAAGAGCCAACTAGTAAGATATAAGTATGAATACTTGGCTATTATGTATGTAACAAACAACCAAACATGTGCTCAAGGCTCATTTTACTTCGCCTAGGAATCAGAGATTTTTATGCCTAAAACACCATAAATTTTCGTCAACAATATAAATAAATACCATTTATATTTGTCAATTTCAGTATGAAACGATTATTTCAACACAAAAAAGCGATATGAGGACATACTTGGTCGTACTAGTGAAGCTATACTAAATACAAATAAATTTACAACGCCATGGCAACGGCAAAACATTGAAATAGAAATTGTCTAGAAATTATACAAATACTTGCCTTGAAACTCCAGACACGACTCCCAATGCCAAGTTGAGATACTTGTCTTCATACGAAGACATTCCATCATTACTAGCACTGTCAGTTTGCAAAATAAAGCCAAAAACGTCTTCAGAATGCGATTCAAACAAAACTACAACACAATACATTTCAACGCTCGTGCGTTCCAGTGCTTCCATTTTCAAAATAAAAATTCCCCATTTTTGACATCAAAATTTCTCTGAATTCCTTAGATTGTATACATAATTTCCTTGAAATTTCCTTGAAATTTCATTAAGCAGTTTGCAGTGATTTTGTACCAATACAAACTGATATAATTAATTTTAAAGGCACAAAATAGCACAATTTACACAGATGTGGGCTAGGTAAAAAACACAGGCTATTATACTGTTTAAAATTAAATATTTGTTATGATTTTACAACATATACGCAGGCCTGAAGCTACGGGGGGTTGTGGGGGGGGGTGACACTCCAGAAATTGTATTCGATCAGTCGGCAGGACTGCTATTCACTCGGTAGGACTGCTATTCACTCGGTAGAACTGATATTTGGGTTAAATATTTTCGCGCAAAGGGCAAGATAGGAGTCGGAATTTTAGAAAATTTTTTGGGAAAAATGGAGAAAATTTGTGATGTCTGCAAAATTTTGGTATGTCCGGAAAAATTTTTGGATCCCTAAAATGGTACACTGACCGAAATTTTTTTGGCGACGGGGCGGGAGGTCGCCAAATATAATTTGTTCCAGAAAATAATTTTTCGGCACTAGTCGGTTGAAATGACCTTACACCCCCCTGAAAAATTATCTGAAGACGGGCCTGCATATACGATTCCACTGATATAATTAATTAACTATTCACAGTGTTTGGTGCCAAAGGTACTAAATCCCATCGCTCAAAAACGAAGAAAAACTTATAAACAGATTTTTAATTAAAGGGGAAGTCAAGTCCGTAATGTAAACAAACGGTTTGTTTACATTTTGAACTGCTGTATTTTTTAAAATATGATGTACTGTCTGAATATCTAACACCATTTTGGTTTGCTATGCTTCTAAATGAATATGAAATAAAGTTTATGTTCAGAAAAATTCGAAAAAATTTGAAATTTGGGCAATTTTCACATTAGAGGTCCTCACATTGTTATGCGCAGAACCGAT